AAATTGATGTGATTAAATTGTTATCCCATACAATTTGGATTAGAGCCAATTATGAAATTATTGCTATTGTCTAATTCAAATCTGGAACTTCAAGAAAACCATTTTGATTGTTCCAATAACAAGTGATTTTGGGGTATTGAGTATGATAGTGAAAAAGGAATTGACGGGGAGAAGTAGGAATTAACTGAATCAGAGAAGCTAGCCAAAAACTCAAGCGAGAAGTGAACCAAAAATAGATAAATTGAGTGTCAACACTTAGTGATGATAATTGGTATTGATTGATTCTTTGATGTGATTGTGTTTTAGTGAGACTTGAAAATAATAAAGGCATTTTTTTCTTCATAGTAGATATAACCCAAAGCCAAATAGTCAACCCTGCATTAATAATAGGACATCCATTTGAACCCTTCTGAGTCAAAAACAATATTGTTTATTAAACAGAACCCCTGAGCATAAAAACTATTTATATACATTCCTATATTTGAGAAAGGAAATGAGTATGAATTTTTTTTATTTTTCCTATTGTTGGGTATTGCTATTGTTGTCCTATGGGTATTATTGAGGTGTTATTGTAAAAAAAAAAGGTGTAAAGGAAAAGGAAAAACAAAGCTTAGAAATTGTGACAAAGCCAGAAAGGATAAAGACAAAAGCATGAGAAAATAAAGAAAAAAAAAAGAAGTCAAAAGGGGGGAATAATAACTTGTGATATTATTAACTCACTATCATTATGTTAGGAACAAAAGCATGAAGTTTGAAGCTTGACTTGAGGAAATGTTAAACAACAATCATTCATATGAGTTAAATTTCTCAAATACTTTTGTATACCCAGAAAAACCAATGATTCTTTCTTAGCACATCCCCATTACAAGCCTCAAAAGACCTTTTGATTTAAGTCTTGCTTAACAAATGTTGATTGCTTGAAGATGATTATCAATATTGGATTGTCTAAATGAAGTGATTGAATGAGATAAATACTTACCCATGAGAGTTAGAAATGATTATATATCACTCTATTTGAGAGATCATGCTTCTCTGAGGATAGTTGAAGACTAATTATTCTTTGTTAGTTTTTGTAACTTGAATGCTTATGTATTCTACTTTCATTTGGAGTTGTGAGTATCGCATTTGAAAAGTCAATTTTATGTTGTGTTTCTAGAAGAGAAAGTGATAATAGGTGATGATTTTGTTTTGGAAAAATTATTTTGCTTGGGACAAGCAAAATTCTAGGTTGGGGGGAGTTGTTAAGTGGTAAAAGGTTGATATAATTATGCCTTAATTTTTTTATGAAACCACTTAACTTATGTTAATTCTAATCTATTTTCTCTCAATATAGGATGAATTCGAGAATACCTTGATACAAGAGTAAAGAGCATAATTGTCAACATAATTGGAGTAAAACTAGAAGAAGGAAGAAGATTTTTAGCATGGAAGTCGCTCGAGCGAGATGGACTCTCGCTTCAGCGAATATCAGTTATTCTTCTCTGGAAGTTAGTCGCTCAAGCGCAAGAAAATTCACTTGAGCGAATGTTAGTTATTCTTCTCTGGAGTTCACTCGCTCAAGCGAGTGTTTTGTCGCTTGAGCGAAAGACGCGAGGCCCAATTTTTTCTATAAAAAGATAAAATGTGTTTTGAGAAAAGAAAGCGGTTTTGGGGAGAATAGGCGCGACTACTGCTAGGGTTTCGTCCAATCTTTATCAATTATTCACTTCTTCCTCATTTGGAGCATTGTAATGGCCAACATGAGTAGCTAACTTCATTCTCTTGGGATTTGGTGCACTTCCTTTGAACTCTTTTGTATCATGGTGATATTTTGAGATATTAATATACGTTTTGATGTTGTTATTCTTATCCTTTATGCTTTAGAATGATTTATTCTTGATGTTTGGGGTATGATTGGAAAATATATCTTAAACCCTAGATCACAGTAAGAATATTTGTTACGTTAATTGCCAAGAATGGAATGAATGTATCAATTGCTTAACACCTTAAACCTAATGCTGGAAAATCTCTTAATTGTGTGAGGAATCAACATTTATTAGGTTTTCTTATTAATTTCATGTGTGAGGAATCAACATGGATGATTTGAGTAAGTGGCATCAACATTTTTAGGTTAATTGATGTTCTTAATTGACATAGTCATTACAAAAGAGGGATAATGAAGGAAACCAATCTTAAGTGCCTTTAATTGATCTTTTCTCAACAATTTACAGTTCTTTGTCATTTAATTTCAATTCAACTCTTTATGCAAAACCCAATTTGTTTTAATTCACTTAGTAAGCATATAATTGAGAATTTCCATTTAAACCGTTCCTCGTGGGATCGATTTTTATTTAATCAAAATACTATACTTCGATTGATAATTTTAGTATGCTTGTCAATAATTCAACACTTATGTGATCGCTTTACCACCTTATTTGGCAAACTCGCACAAAGTTTTCCATGTGTCTCAAATGAGGAAGTATGTACCTAACCCAAGTCATGTGTTGGAGGTGGATGAGGTGTAAGAACATGAGGACTTTTCAATTAAGGCTAGGCTACTTAGGTTTAAGGATCAACATAATAGGCAACTTAGGAGCAGGTTTATTGGCATGATGAAGGTGTTATGGGGTGTTAGGTTGGGTGATTCCACTTGGGAGCTTAAGGAAAGCATGAGAGAATCTTATCCCTACCTCTTCCTTAATAAGTGAATTTTTGAGGAAGAAAATTTTTGTTGTTGAGGAGAATGTGAGGATCTAGTTTAAGTGAGTTAAGAGTAGACATAATATAATGATAGTAACTTTGAAGTTTTACCAATGAAGCTAAAAAGAATTATAAATAGAAAAGTTTGACCATTCAAACTTCATTCTCACAAAACCACCATCTTTCTACAATTCCCTTGTCTCTTATATCTATTTCAATATCTAGGCTTCTAAAAGTGATCTATTGTCTGTGTCACATGAATGTGAGCCTGTATGGGTGTATGATATGATAAATGAAAACTACTAGTTAAATTATGTTGTTTTATCTCATATTTGAATTTTGAATCCTTAAATTGAATTTTTAACTTACCCTGTGTGTTTTGTATGTTGTTTTGAACTGTGATGACCATGTGTTTACACGAAAGCAAAGAATTTACAGGTGATAGACCTCAACATGAGTAGGTTTGGAGCTAGGAGTAATATAAATTTATGTTTTGTTTACTTTTGAGGTGATAGATATGTATGTATATATTTCCCTATGCAAAGGAAATTTATATTTTGAATTACTTTGTGTATTTTAATTATATATTTATGGTATGTATAATTTTTAGGATTGTTACAATTGCCGCCATCAATTGCATCGCTTTGCACCCCATTATTGTCTTTGTTGCCTTCTTTCGTCCTACTAGTGCCATGGGTCCCCTGCCCTAGATTTTCTCGTCTAGTTTGTTCTTGTACGATGTTTCCCCCTTGCATTGTGCAGTAGTTGTGTTCCCTCGGTCAGCCACCAATATTTCTTTTAAGAAAATATTAAAAAAACCTTTAAAAGAAAAAAAAAAAGAATGGTATGTGAAACAAAATTTGAATTTGAGAGTCAATTATGTGTGCAAAAGATGTGAAAAAGTTAAATATCTTAAAAATTATTTTATTTTATATTTTTGGCTCAATGGAGATTACCTATATGCTCCTATGTATCTCTATGTGCAATGGAAGTGATGTAGTTATTTTATAGAAAAATATTTATGAATAATTTATTTTAATTTATCTATTTGTGTTAGTAAATTAAGATATGTTTTGGATTATTTTAAAATTGCATAATCATGTAATAATCAAATTACAAGTACATCTAAAGTGATTATCATTTTTATAATTTAAGTAATAATTAAACTGGAGGTACATCCAAAGTAAATATTAATATTTGAATACTTAAATTACTAAATTTTTCATTCCTATTTGGATTTAAAACATTTTTTTAAATTATTTTATTATAATCAAATCAAAAATACATTTGACGTGATTATTATAATTTTATGACAACTAAATTAGATGTACGTTCAAGTGGTTAATTTTTTTATAAAATATTTTGTTACAACTCTGATAAAAATAGTACTACATATTTAATAATTCCATAAAATAATATTTGAAAAGAGAAAATGGTATCTATTGAAATTTAGTTGTCAACATACTAATTGTGATATAGTAATTTAAATCCTTTTTCAGAAAAGAAGTTGAATCATTTTATTTGAAAAATGAAAAAAAAAAAAAAAGCTTTCATACACCATTATTATTCGTAACTTGTTTTTGTCTTGTTATCTCAAGTTTAACAAAACAAAAAATACCATTAGGCCCAATAACTTTCAAAAAATAAAAATCCTTTCAAATTTGTTTCAGTGTTTGAAGTTTGTTTTTTTATTCTCACCCCTAAACTCAAATAAAATTATTTTTTTCTGAATTCGATTTGAATCATCAGCCTAAAAGTTTCCCACGAATTCGTTAGGCCCAAAAACTCAATTCAAGCACGTTTCATGGCCCAAACTTAACGAAATGGCATATTTGTATCATTATTTGAAGTTCATTCTTGCTATTTTCGCTCTTAAATATATTTTGGGTCATCTCTCTCTTAAGCTCATATCTTATTTAAACTCATAATTTATCCTAACCCTAATACACCTGATTAAAGAAGAGGGGAGCCACAATTAGAAGAGACAGGTGAGAGTGAGGGGAGGTGAGACGCAATGCATGATACGGAGGGGGAGATGCAGCGTGGTGATTGGAACTGAGAAGTGATTTAGGGTTCAAAGGTGAGGTTAGGGTGAAATATGAGGGGAGGCCGTAAGCGAGAAAAGGGGTTGCGAGGGAGAAAAAAAAAAGATGATGAGGGTGAGAATAATTTTTAGTAGTAATGGAGATGGACAGGGGCTCTAAGAGTGAGAGTTTTTGGTGGTTTTGAAAGTGGTCATGTGATGGTTTGGTTAGATGTGAGGGTTGTAGGTTGCGTGGAGGCCGAAATGGAGGTGGTCGTGTGGTGAGGTTGAAGGCGCAATGGTGGCCACAGAGGAGGCCGCAGTGGACGGAGGGGATAAGTGTAGTGAGGTGGGGCTTGGTTCAGTGATGGGGTTTGAAAGCCACAGTGGAGGTGTTAGGCGAGGCTAAGTCAAGTGGCACGACGAGCTCATGGTGATGGGCGACAGTAAGTGTATTTTTTTTTTTTTTTTTCAACTTTAAAATATTTAAAGATTACTATAGTGAAGAACAGGGAGTAACAAATGCCAAAAAATAGTACAATGAGCAACACAATGGATTTTCCAATATAAAATGTTTAAAACTTGGAAATGGGCTCGGGACTCAATATAAAGGTTACAAAGAACTTGTAATGCACAAAGAACTTGTACAACATATAAACTTGTACAACATATAATTTAATATTAAAAGTAAGGATAAGTAGCATGGTTATTAAACTCGTAAGTTAACTCATTAACTTAAACGAGTTTATGAGTTGAGTGACGGTTCACGAGTTAACCCGTAGACTTATTTTTTTAGTAAACTCGTATAAACTTGGAGTCAACTTGATCAAACTCGAGCTCACTTGTGAGTTTGTTGTCGATTCACAGGTCGATAATGATTCTTCTTCAACATTCTACTTTTCTCTCTTCTACGTAATGGTTTCTCTTCACCACACAATGTATCCCTATCCTCCACACGTGATGGGTTTCTCTTGTATTCGATTCATTTCTCTCCTATGTGCGTGATGTGTCTCCCTCCATCGCGTAACACATCTCTCTATTGTGCACGACGCATCACTCTCCTTTGCGCATGACACATCTCACTCTTCCACGCGTGATGCATCTCCCTCCAGCATACAACTGGTGCGCGCAACTATCTCCCTCCTTTGCGCACAACCATCTCCCTCCTTCGTGGGATGGGGCTTGATTCGGAGTTGTTACCTCAAATCCGGTTGGACACATCTCCCTAGGTTTCGGTGTCTTTTTTATTTTCTTTCTTCGTCTTTTTTTATGTTTTAAATTTTAATTTTTTTTATTTTGTTTTAATTTTTTTCTTTTAAGAAATTAAATTTTTTAATTTTTTGTTTATATTTATTTGTATGAATTAGTTGTCAAAATGATGAATTGTTAATAATCAAGATTAGTTTAATTTTTTATTGAAGTAAAAATAAAAATAAAATAAATATTTAATAATTATATAGATTAAATATTTTAGATAAATTTAAAAAAATAATATAATTATTTTTTTATATAAGTAGACTCTTACGAGTCTACAAGTTGAGTTTGCAAAGGTCTCACGAGTCTACGTAGACTCTCAAGTTTGATAACCTTGGTCAGAATGAACCAACCACCTAAATATCTTGCACGAGCTGATAAACATGGGCATAGGTAGAAATTTGTGGATAGATATTTATAGTCAATTTAAACAAGTAATGCATATGTTATTTAAGGAAAGATTGCATACAAGAAAAATTTTATTTAAGGAATGTGTAATAATACATATGACACTTTGTAAATTCATCCCTTGAGTAGATTTGTGTACCAATCTTCTAACTTTCCCCTACATTCTTGAACTTTTAGCATTATAGGTTGCTCTGATTTTTTCATAGACCACCCTTTCAGGTTTTCAGCCTAGTATTGTTTATTTGACCCTATTTCGCCTAAGTTGCTTTTTTCGAGTTTTTAGCCTATCGAGTTGCTCAATTTTGTTTAAACCATCTTTTCAGATTTTTCATCAAGCAAACCCTCTTTTTTTATGCATAGTATTTCTTAATTGCATCAGAGTTTTACCGAGTGTGATAAGTCATTACCACCCATGCCTATAAGGATCAAAGCACCTCCTAAAAAAGTTTTTCTTTCCCACATATGGGCCTTCATAATTTAGTGTCCACTTTCCTCTCTAATCTTTCTGAGTTGATAAGATCTTCTTGAGGACCAAATCTTTTTCAGGAAATTGTTGAGGGGCGAACCTTTTTATCATAAGATCTTTTCAGCCTTTTCTAATTCAACTATCAATGGCATAGGATGGTCAATTTTTTTTCTTCAATACGATTCAATTGGTCGAAACAAGTCTAGATCCATTTAGCCTCCTTAAGTTATATTTCAACCAAAACCCTTAGAGAGGGAATTTCTACTTCAACCAGAAAAGAACTGCCTCCATCCCATATACCAAAGAATGTGGAAATGTCCCTGTAAAAGTTTGAATAGAGGTACGATATGCATGTAGTGTGAAGGGAAACATCTCATGTCAATCCTTGTATGTAACTATCATCTTTTGGACAATCTTCTTTATGTTTTTATTTGTTGCTTCTACTGTCCCATTCATCTTCGAACTATATGGTGATGAATTGTGATGTTGAATCTTAAAATTATCACGTAACCCCTTCATCATCTTGTTATTCATATTGGTCTCATTGTTAGTAATCATCTTGTTTGGCAAATAATAACGAAAATTCAAATCCTTCTTGATAACTTAATCACTACATTTTTTTTCATACTGACATGATGTTATTTCGACTCATTTGGTGAAGTAATCAATTGTCACTAAGATGAAGTGATTTGATGCTTTAGGCTCGATTAGTTCAATTACATCCATACCCCATATTGAAAATGATTATGGTCCAGCCAAAACATTTAAAGATGTTGCTAATGTTGTTGAACATTCAAGGACTTGATATTGCACTTGATGGACATGAAGATTGTTGATTTTGATGATGATTCAAGAACTCAAAGACTTAGAGTGTTGAAGACTTGTTTTGTATTGTAATAACTCTGTTTCAATTAGATTGAGTCTGTAATATTAGTGTTTAAGATAGCCGGTACATAGTCTGCACCTTAGAAGCTTCAAAAAGCTCAAATTTATCATCCAAGCTCGGCTTTAATCGATTAAATAGGGAAATAATCGATTAAAACAGTGAGAAAAACCATTTTATGTATCTGCTCACTGGTTTAATAGATTAAACCACCCGTTAATCGATTAACAGTGATTTAATCGATTAACGACCTTTTTAATCGATTAAAACGAGAGTTTCGAGGTTCTGTTGATTTTGGCTCTATAATAATCGATTAATACTTCATTTAATCGATTATTTCAGTCAGATTTTGATTTTTAACTTCAAATCAACCCTATTTTCGAAAACCCTTTTCCCAAGAACCCTAATTCCGAAATTCCCAATTCCCAAACCCTAATTTCTCTACTTAAGCTTCTCTATGGCACTCAGAAAAAAAAGAACAACATTTTTCATACAAAAGTTAAGTGTTGTGAGTGTCAGAGAACTGTTTGTTGCAAGAAAAATGGTCTTTCAGAACCTGGTGTGGGCTAGAAGCGATAAGAATCACTAAGTGGAGTTCTTAGTGGATTGTGTGTTGTGCCGTCTCTAGGGAAAACTGTTCATCATCTCTTGTTGATTTCAAGAGAGGTGTTTTCTTATCTTTATCTTTTCAATTGTAATTTGTTTGTAACAACTTGATTATAGTGACAGCGTTAATCCTCTGTTTGAGTGATTAGCAACTGGACGTAGGGTCTTTTGATCCGAACCAGTATAAATTTCCTCTGTAAGATTCTCTTCTCTTCTCTATTTACATTTACACAGTTTTTAATCAGTAAAATTTGGGGAAAATTTTGAAAACCTAATTTTTGTTAAGAAACCAATTCACCCCCCCTCTTGGTTTTTTTCCGACCACGCGAACATTCCGCTGCGCGATTCTAACAATTGGTATCAGAGCTTGCTTTGATAGTCATTCAAATTTTTCGAAAATGGCCGGACAAAATCAAACTTTTGCCGAAGGTGCGTCTATCAACAGCACCCCCACTTTTTGCGGGTCAAAATTATCCTTTCTGGAAAGTAAGAATGCAAATATTTTTAGAGTCTGTTGATAGAGGCGTTTGGGATGCTGTTTTAAACGGTCCATTTATTCCTAAAGTTACTGAGAGCAGTGTTGAAGTTCCAAAACCCTTTTCTAGATGGACTGCAGAAGAAAATAGAAAAGCACAATTTGACGTTAGGGCTAGAAATATAATTTCATCTGCTCTAACCCTTGACGAGTTTTACAGGGTTTCTGTTTGTAAAAGTGCACAGGAAATGTGGGAAATGCTTAGAGTGACCCACGAAGGTACCGACGACGTTAAAAGAGCACGTAAAAACTCCCTAATCCAAGGATACGAGATGTTCCGGATGCAACAAGGAGAAACGATTTTCGACGTTCAAAAGCGTTTCACTCATATTGTGAATCATCTCACCGGATTAGGTAAAGTATTTGACGTTAATGAATTAAATGTTAAAATTTTGAAATCTTTGGATAGGAAATGGCAACCTAAGGTGACGGTCATCTTGGAGTCACAAAATCTTTCCACAATGTCAATGGCGGCGCTATTCGGAAAGCTAAGAGAGCATGAGCTTGAGCTTGGTATGCTAAATGATGAAGAAGGACAATTTCAAAAGAAAAATCTAGCCTTCAAAATCGAAATCTCCAAAGGTAAAAATAAAAGGGAAGAAGACTCAAACGATGAAGAAGAAGAGTTGAGTCTTATGATAAAGAAGTTTACCAAATTCATGAAAGCCAAAGGAAGACATCCCTTCAAAGGTAAAGGAAAGGTAAGGGAAAATTCTTCTGTAAATATAAAATGCTATGGTTGTGGTGAAGAAGGACATGTAAAGACCGAATGTCCAAATAAGAAGAATGATGAATTCAAAGGCAAAAAGGTCTTCAAGAAGAAAGTCTATATTGCTTGGGACAACAGTGATTCAAGTTCGGAATCAAGTGACTCGGAAGAAGAAGCAAATATTTGCTTAATGGCAAATGACAACATATCATCCAATTTTGAGGTAAGTGATTTCGACTCATCTTCTAGTGATGATGATAATGACCATGATGAACTGCAAAATGCTTACAATGAATTATTTAGTGCCTTTAAGAATTTGAAAAATGAATATAAAGTTGTAAAGAAGAATCTAAGTAGATCTGAAAAGGAAATTGACTCTTTAAAAATGAAAATCACATGTTTAGAAGAAAAAGAGTTATTAAATACGAAAATTGTATGTTTAGATGAGGATAATGATAAGAACATGGCATGTGCAAATTGTAAAGAGCATGAATATGATATAGATATTCTTAACCATTTGTTAGACAAAGCCGAAAAGGAAATAGATGATCTTAAGAAGCATGAAATAGTGTTTGCTCAAAATAGTGTAAATCAACAAGTTCTTTTGAAAGAACCTAAAAGGAAAAATAAAAGAGTATGGGTACAAAAAGGAACTAGAACATCTATGGTTAAAAATTCATCATATTCAAAAGTCACATCAAATACATGTTTTTATTGTATGAAACATGGTCATACCTCAAATAGATGTAAAATAAAACATTTTGGTGTTCCTAAAGGTAAATATATTTGGGTTCCTATTGTCAAATAATTTATTTGTTTCTAACCCCAAGGACCCAAAAGTTATGGGGACCTAAGTTTACTATGTTCTTGTTTTATAGGAAACTTCAAAATCTAAGAAGTCTATGTGGTATCTTGATAGTGGATGATCAAAGCATATGACCGGTGATAGATCAAAATTTGTGAGTTTCAAAGCTAAGGAACAAGGATATGTAACTTATGGGGACAACAACAAAGGGAAGATTCTTGGAATTGGAAACATAGGTGGTGCAAATACTTTGGAGATTAAGGATGTGTTTCTTGTTGATGGATTAAAGCATAATCTCCTTAACATAAGTCAACTATGTGGCAAAGGATTTAAGGTAATCTTTGAAAGCAAATTTTGCACCATTCATTTGATAGATTCCGAAAATGTAGAATTAAAAGGCATTAGGCATAACAACATATATTTGATTGATTTAGATTGTTTACATGATTCTAGTATAACATGTTTAGTTGTTAAGGAAGAGAACCCTTGGTTATGGCATAAGAGAGCTGCTCATATAAATATGCATCATTTGAATAAATTGATTTCAAAAGACTTAGTTATTG